TTCTTGACCATTCATATTTGGTACATCTTTTTTGACAAGGTGTGCGTTATTGTAACTCATAAAAGAAAAGAGGTTTAGCAAACTAAAAGAAAAGAAAAGAGGATGTAAACTATTGACATTATTTATCAGCTTGTAAACTGTATGTGACTATTTTCCTAGTAGACATATTGTTTTACATATAATGGTTAAATAAAATCTTTGCAGGTTGCTTTTAGGACAAAAGTTTTCCATCCAAATATTAATAGCAATGGAAGTATATGCTTGGACATATTGAAGGAGCAATGGAGCCCTGCCTTGACTATTTCTAAGGTTCCTTCTTAACTTTCAACCTTGTTTTTTTTTTAATAATAGGAACTATTTTTTTTTTAAATTTATTAATTGTTTTAATTTATTCTAATAGGAGCTACTTAATACTCAAACATAGGTAAGTCTTGGACTGTCATGGTATCGTGAGTCCTTTTAATCAAATTTATATGCCTTCAGCTAACATATCTGAAGGATAGGAAGTAAAATTATTGACTGATTAGTAAAGGAAATATTTAACTGGAGTTACAAATAAGAGGTGAGTTATTCCTTTGGCTGTTGCCCACTTTTCTTTTTATCTTCTGCGAGTAATGGTGGAAACAGTTCAATACTATATAAATAAAGCCCTTCAGCTGGAAGAATAGGTTCCTTGATGGTACCATTAGTTGTTTCCACGGAATTATGCATTTTCTCACAAAGAGGTTTTTACCATGTTTGACATTCACAAAATATGTCCATGTGCATATGTTTCTTAAGGTGGGAAATGTTTCTGTTTTACCTTCAGGTTTTGCTTTCAATATGTTCACTTTTGACGGATCCAAATCCTGATGACCCCTTGGTGCCTGAGATTGCTCATATGTACAAGACGGACAGGGCAAAATACGAAACAACTGCCCGGAGTTGGACCCAGAAGTATGCCATGGGTTAAACCGTTACCTATGGCACTTGAATTTATGTAAAAAGAAAGAATGCATCTGTCCTCTACTTTTTATACAAGAAGTGTAGAATAGCATTGAACAATGCCTGTGGAGGAATGTTGATGCTTTGAATTTGTTTATATAGATACTAATATTTGAAGAAATCTTGGAAGTGTTTATTTATATGGTTTAGGATTGTAACAATTGGTTTCAACCATCTATTTCATGTAAAACTTTTCACTAAATGTCTCTATAACCTAAGTTCCGCCAATATATTGGTTGATTGGGACTAATTTGTCTTCGAGAAATGTTGAGCGCCTCTGCAATCTTAGCTATATTCTTGAGGTTCGATTTCTTTATCCTGCCATGATTAGTTTAGTATCATAAATTTAGAGTGACACCTATATCATTATGAAATTAAGTCTGATCTCGTCTTGGGCTATAAGAAAAAGCACTACGAGAGAATAAAATTGGATTGATTATGCTTTCAAACAAGAGAGAATACCAGTTTTGCTTTATTCTTGAGTATAAGCCAAGCACTATCTAGTTTCAAAATGGAGAATTTTGGAGCTTGACTTAAATTTGAGATTTAGCATTACCATTCGTAAATTTGTCTCTTTGTTTATCAATCAGAGAAGTTGTGACAGCCACCAATATTAGGTCTATACTGAATCCTCCCAGCTCAGAGAAACAACTTTTTATTAAGAATATAGACCTAAAGTCTAACTCATCATAATATCTAGAATCATATTAAAAATAAAATAAAAAAAAACTCATTCCAGAGCATAAACATCATAACATGGGCTTAACATTGTAAATAAAAAAAAGTGAATGAGTTTGGCTCTGATACCATGTTAAGAATAAGTTTAACATTGTAAACAAAAAATATGAATGGGTTTGGCTCTGATACCATATTAAACAAAATAGACTTAAGACCCGTTTGACCATAGATTTTGCCAAAATACATTTGGGTTTCATATGACAAACACATATTTGGCCATATATTTTCCCTACATTTTGGGCCAAAACATCACCATTACGTTTTTTAAAAATTGCCTCAAACTTTTGTATTTTATAAAAAAGCCTACATTTATTATTTTGTAACAATATTGCTTTGTCTTCTCGGTCATCTAATAGTGTATCATGTAGTTCATTATAAAAATGATAATTTT